AAAAAATGTGCAGAATATTTGTATTTATGTCCCTGGTTAAATGGCCTGTTTGATGTATGTGAAATGTGAAGGGCTTTGTACATAAAATCTGTAGTCCATCACAAATATTTCACTAAATCTGTAAAATAACACTTTACAATGATCAGTTCACCCTATTCATTTCATATGCTACCATGATTTTCTTCTTTAGGATAGTAAGTGGTTCAAATATATGACAGTTGAGACTAAAACTACATGCAAGTTTTCCATTGAAAAGTGAAAAACTGGTCATCAGACCATACTGTCTGCAAAAAAAGTTGAATTCAAGAGTCCTTTTGCAATTAGACTTCTTGTATCATGACATCTCAGCATAGAAATGAGCAAAAAGTAACAAATTTCCATTTCTTATAGCCTCTGTGTGCATTTTTATATGTAAATATGGGCTACGGCCTAAATCGATTCTAAATAATTCTCATTCTTACATGGCCTAAGACCATTTTATACTCATGTGGTATGCTTTTTGTAACTTTTCTTTACATTTAAAGTACATTTAATATATATGGAAGAATAATGTATGGTTAAAAAACTTCAAAAACCTCAACTTGATTGAAAAAAATGCATGTTTATGTAAGGCTTCCCTTAATTCGAAAATCCCTATTTTCAGGCACAGGCTCATATAAATTTGACATTTGAATAGCTGTAATAGATCTGATAAATCAAATGAGTGTTCCGTTGCTTTTAATACTTATTACATTATATTCAAGAGTATTTAAAAAGCAAATTTTTGCAATATTTAAATTTTTTAGGCCAAAATCTTAACAGTTAAAAATATTTGATTTAAACGTCAAAAATAAACATCCAAATTTCAATATTAAAATGGCCCTAGTTTCTCTAATATAGATTCTATGGCCATGAAACTTGGCCAACTATCTTATAATTTCCTAAGCTTAGGTCATGCAAAGTTTTATTAAAATTGGTCAAGTCTTTCTATCCTATTAGGTCCAAGGACACAGTTATCATCCTTTGGTTTTCGTTGTCTACGAATATAGTCCCTAGTGTGAACAGTGAATAACTTGAATTTTTTTTTGATACACTTTCCCAATTTATTTCTTGATATTTTATGCATGAAATATTAAGTAAGGGGATGAAATTACTTGTTAAAAAATTTGGGTGCTGAATCTTTATGTTAAGTAGTGATTTGGTCCAGTTAAAAAAGGTCAAAAATTAGAATGTCTGAAGCTGTCAAACTGAATTTAAGCCCCCCTTAACACAGAATTGTCAATATTTTGAGTTAGAGCTGGTAGAAGTTTCTATAATTTTGATATTATTTGTATCAATAGTAGTACACTACACTGTAAAAATCTTTTTGAGATAGAGCGGGTGCGATTTTTTTAATTTGAATTTATTGTCTAAAAGAAATGCACTACGAAATAACTGTGTTCTCAGGCCTAAGAGATGAATTCCGTAAATGTAGATTCTGTACTTTGGCAACTTTCCTGAATGGTTTGCTGGTTTCAATTTGTCAAACTCAATAAAAGTAAAGGATTTACATCTTTGTTTGACAGAAATTCTGTTAAAATGTCCCATTTTGCCATTATACGGCTAAAATAATCATTTTAAAGCAGTTTCCATTTTATGCCTAAGAGCCATGCTGAATTTCTATCTGACAGCTTTTTATGTTTCTGATATTTGTGTTTCTATGCTTAAATCAAATTTAATTAACCATTTGTGAACTCTGAATCTAAAGAAAAGTAGATTATCACAGAAAAAATGTGCAGAATATTTGTATTTATGTCCCTGGTTAAATGGCCTGTTTGATGTATGTGAAATGTGAAGGGCTTTGTACATAAAATCTGTAGTCCATCACAAATATTTCACTAAATCTGTAAAATAACACTTTACAATGATCAGTTCACCCTATTCATTTCATATGCTACCATGATTTTCTTCTTTAGGATAGTAAGTGGTTCAAATATATGACAGTTGAGACTAAAACTACATGCAAGTTTTCCATTGAAAAGTGAAAAACTGGTCATCAGACCATACTGTCTGCAAAAAAAGTTGAATTCAAGAGTCCTTTTGCAATTAGACTTCTTGTATCATGACATCTCAGCATAGAAATGAGCAAAAAGTAACAAATTTCCATTTCTTATAGCCTCTGTGTGCATTTTTATATGTAAATATGGGCTACGGCCTAAATCGATTCTAAATAATTCTCATTCTTACATGGCCTAAGACCATTTTATACTCATGTGGTATGCTTTTTGTAACTTTTCTTTACATTTAAAGTACATTTAATATATATGGAAGAATAATGTATGGTTAAAAAACTTCAAAAACCTCAACTTGATTGAAAAAAATGCATGTTTATGTAAGGCTTCCCTTAATTCGAAAATCCCTATTTTCAGGCACAGGCTCATATAAATTTGACATTTGAATAGCTGTAATAGATCTGATAAATCAAATGAGTGTTCCGTTGCTTTTAATACTTATTACATTATATTCAAGAGTATTTAAAAAGCAAATTTTTGCAATATTTAAATTTTTTAGGCCAAAATCTTAACAGTTAAAAATATTTGATTTAAACGTCAAAAATAAACATCCAAATTTCAATATTAAAATGGCCCTAGTTTCTCTAATATAGATTCTATGGCCATGAAACTTGGCCAACTATCTTATAATTTCCTAAGCTTAGGTCATGCAAAGTTTTATTAAAATTGGTCAAGTCTTTCTATCCTATTAGGTCCAAGGACACAGTTATCATCCTTTGGTTTTCGTTGTCTACGAATATAGTCCCTAGTGTGAACAGTGAATAACTTGAATTTTTTTTTGATACACTTTCCCAATTTATTTCTTGATATTTTATGCATGAAATATTAAGTAAGGGGATGAAATTACTTGTTAAAAAATTTGGGTGCTGAATCTTTATGTTAAGTAGTGATTTGGTACAGTTAAAAAAGGTCAAAAATTAGAATGTCTGAAGCTGTCAAACTGAATTTAAGCCCCCCTTAACACAGAATTGTCAATATTTTGAGTTAGAGCTTGTAGAAGTTTCTATAATTTTGATATTATTTGTATCAATAGTAGTACACTACACTGTAAAAATCTTTTTGAGATAGAGCAGGTGCGATTTTTTTAATTTGAATTTATTGTCTAAAAGAAATGCACTACGAAATAACTGTGTTCTCAGGCCTAAGAGATGAATTCCGTAAATGTAGATTCTGTACTTTGGCAACTTTCCTGAATGGTTTGCTGGTTTCAATTTGTCAAACTCAATAAAAGTAAAGGATTTACATCTTTGTTTGACAGAAATTCTGTTAAAATGTCCCATTTTGCCATTATACGGCTAAAATAATCATTTTAAAGCAGTTTCCATTTTATGCCTAAGAGCCATGCTGAATTTCTATCTGACAGCTTTTTATGTTTCTGATATTTGTGTTTCTATGCTTAAATCAAATTTAATTAACCATTTGTGAACTCTGAATCTAAAGAAAAGTAGATTATCACAGAAAAAATGTGCAGAATATTTGTATTTATGTCCCTGGTTAAATGGCCTGTTTGATGTATGTGAAATGTGAAGGGCTTTGTACATAAAATCTGTAGTCCATCACAAATATTTCACTAAATCTGTAAAATAACACTTTACAATGATCAGTTCACCCTATTCATTTCATATGCTACCATGATTTTCTTCTTTAGGATAGTAAGTGGTTCAAATATATGACAGTTGAGACTAAAACTACATGCAAGTTTTCCATTGAAAAGTGAAAAACTGGTCATCAGACCATACTGTCTGCAAAAAAAGTTGAATTCAAGAGTCCTTTTGCAATTAGACTTCTTGTATCATGACATCTCAGCATAGAAATGAGCAAAAAGTAACAAATTTCCATTTCTTATAGCCTCTGTGTGCATTTTTATATGTAAATATGGGCTACGGCCTAAATCGATTCTAAATAATTCTCATTCTTACATGGCCTAAGACCATTTTATACTCATGTGGTATGCTTTTTGTAACTTTTCTTTACATTTAAAGTACATTTAATATATATGGAAGAATAATGTATGGTTAAAAAACTTCAAAAACCTCAACTTGATTGAAAAAAATGCATGTTTATGTAAGGCTTCCCTTAATTCGAAAATCCCTATTTTCAGGCACAGGCTCATATAAATTTGACATTTGAATAGCTGTAATAGATCTGATAAATCAAATGAGTGTTCCGTTGCTTTTAATACTTATTACATTATATTCAAGAGTATTTAAAAAGCAAATTTTTGCAATATTTAAATTTTTTAGGCCAAAATCTTAACAGTTAAAAATATTTGATTTAAACGTCAAAAATAAACATCCAAATTTCAATATTAAAATGGCCCTAGTTTCTCTAATATAGATTCTATGGCCATGAAACTTGGCCAACTATCTTATAATTTCCTAAGCTTAGGTCATGCAAAGTTTTATTAAAATTGGTCAAGTCTTTCTATCCTATTAGGTCCAAGGACACAGTTATCATCCTTTGGTTTTCGTTGTCTACGAATATAGTCCCTAGTGTGAACAGTGAATAACTTGAATTTTTTTTTGATACACTTTCCCAATTTATTTCTTGATATTTCATGCATGAAATATTAAGTAAGGGGATGAAATTACTTGTTAAAAAAATTTGGGTGCTGAATCTTTATGTTAAGTAGTGATTTGGTCCAGTTAAAAAAGGTCAAAAATTAGAATGTCTGAAGCTGTCAAACTGAATTTAAGCCCCCCTTAACACAGAATTGTCAATATTTTGAGTTAGAGCTGGTAGAAGTTTCTATAATTTTGATATTATTTGTATCAATAGTAGTACACTACACTGTAAAAATCTTTTTGAGATAGAGCGGGTGCGATTTTTTTAATTTGAATTTATTGTCTAAAAGAAATGCACTACGAAATAACTGTGTTCTCGGGCCATATATCAAATACATTGTATGTTAACATGTCACCTGTTAGAACTAAAAGTTATTACATGATGTTACCTTTTTTCCACTTTCAGAGTGTACCAAATGTTTCAATAATCTGCAACAAATAACTTCCAAGAATAAGGATTTATACCGCCAAATCCATCAACTTGAATTCACACTGGGACAGGATCAAATAGAAACAGAAAGACTTAAAAATGTCACAGCAGATTTCGATACAAAACTTCTTTCACGGATATCTACATCAATTAAAGAACAAAACAGTTTGTGGCTGAAGTGTATTGCTGTGACACCTGGTAGACCGTGTGATATTACACAAGGTTGTTCAACATCTAAACAAGGACAATGTTTTCCAATAAACGTGTAAACACAGAAGATCCAAAATTCATCATTTCTGGACTATCAACAGTGCCCAATGATATTGTTACGACGCGTTTATCCATTATATAGACGATTATTGTTATATAATACATGTACGATGCATGTTTTCTTCAGTTATCTGTTATAATTAAAACAACAAAACAAAAACCTGTTTTTTCTCCTCAATGTGTTGGTCTCTTACTAAGACGGTGTTTTGCATTGCGGGTGTATAAATACACAGACACGTCATATATATTATCGGGAAACAAAGAACCCTCTACAACTAAAAAGGATTGCTGCAGGTAATATATTGAAAGGTATTTCATCAATGTCTTTTGCCAGCAAAGTTTCTTTTCTTATCTAGTAGCATTTCAAAATGCAATGCAATTGTCCTAAGTATGTCTAAGTACTTACAACTTGGATGTTTAGAAAATCAGAATAAATCAATAATATTTCAAATCTCAGGACATAAAATACAAAGATGAGAACGGAATACACTTATTGTTAGAGCATTCTAAAACAAGCATTATTTTAACCATACAGCTGGAATTTGTTTTCTTCCGGACTGTATATTATGTTTTACTTAATCGAGTGTCAAAGTATTCATAGTTGGCCATGGGAAATATAAGATCCAGTTTATTTCATGAGTAATAATAAACGGTTTATGATGAACATGCGAAAGAGTTTAATTTTTTTTTATTCTAAAACTATAGAAGGAAATTCAAAACTATTTCCGCATGTTCAATTTCTATTCATATTATTAATAAAAAAATGTTTTTCTTATCTATACGAAACCCAGTTGTCATAAATATTAGTTCGCATTCACATGTACCCTTGTTGTGTAAGCTGTAGCACTGAGGTCATTTCAATTGATATTTTATAGTGTGTCTTTCTATGTTGTAATGTTACACTATTGTTTCAGATAAGGGTGAAGGTTTGGTACCATTAAAACGTTTAAACCTGCTGCAATTGTTTGCACCTGTCCTAAGTCAAGAATCTGATGTTCAGTAGTTGTCGTTTGTTGATGTGCCTCATAAGTGTTTCTCGTTTCTCGTTTTTTATATAGATTAGACCGTTGGTTTTCCCATTTGAATGGTTTTACACTAGTAATTTTTGGGGCCCTTTATAGCTTGCTGTTCGGTGTGAGCCAAGGCTCCGTGTTGAAGACCGTACTTTGACCTATAATGATTTAGTTTTATAAATTTTGACTTGGATGGAGAGTTGTCTCATTGGCACTCATACCACATCTTCTTATATCTATTAAATGTTCGTAAATTAAGGAAAAGTTGACCTAAATTGAATTTGGCTATGCTGTAAGGGTCCATTTAAGTAAAAAAAAAGCTCCTTACGTTGCAGCAAATTTACGTATCCCTGGCTTTCAAATGTTTTGGTTTGAGTGTTTCTGACCTTGGAAAGCAAAGAATTTATCAGGGGTTTAATTTACTCAGAGAAAAAACAGCAAATGTAGGTAAATTTTCAGATTGTCACATAAATCTTAACAGACTTATCGCCCTTTCTACACAAACTACTTACACATGATGATATGATCAAATAGGAAACAAAACATTATATAAGTAGTGTAACTATCGAGAATATTTACTTCACTAAACAATAAATATTATTGCAAAGTGGTTTTCGGCAGAAAGTTCAAGCAAAAATCTTAGATGATTGAAAAAGCCGTCAGAACAGATACATAACCAAACAAGTTGTACATGATAATGGTGTATAAAAGATAAGGAAATATTTTTATCAAAATTTGCATTAAGTAATCATTTCCTAGCATTAAAGTCAGTAGGTACATAAACATCCCAAAAAAACGCAAGTATGTTTATCAATTTAATACACATTCTATAAAAATTGAGAATGGAAATGGGGAATATGTCAAAGAGACAACAATTCGACCAAAGAGCAGAAAACAGCCGAAGGCCACCAATGGGTCTTCAACACAGCTTCAGCTGTCCCCTAATAAAAAAATGTGTACTAGTTCAATGAAAATGGACGTCACACTAAATCCAAAACATATAAATGAACTAAAATTAAAAAACATACAAGACTAACAAAGGCCAAAGGCTCCTGACTTGGGACAGGCGCAAAAATGCGGCGGGGTTAAACATGTTTTGTGAGATCTCAACCCCCCCCCCCTTTACCTCTAGCCAATGTAGAATAAATAAACACACAGCAATAAGCACAGTAAAACTCAGTTTAAAAGAAGTCAGAGTCCGATGTCAGAATAGGTAACAAAAGAAACAAAGAAAAATGACAATGATACATAAATTAACTAAGGACTACTAGCAGTTCCAGACCTCGATTAAACTGATTCAAATATAACCCACTCCTGACATTGTCATGTTGGAGTCTTTATTAAACCGTCTTCATAACTGAGGGTGTCAGACAGGTTTATGAAACTTATACTTGTGCAATGTAGTATCATCATTTGTGCATTTAGTTAAATGTTCAATTTTTGTATTCTTGTACATGTTGTAATTAATTTATTATTGTTTCACCAATATGGATGTATTTCTTGCAGTAAAGATATTATATTATTTTAAATCTACTCGGAGGGGTTTCAGGCTGTTGTCTGTTATTTACATTAAAGATATATCACATGCTGACATACTCTTGATTACAAAATTTCGTCAATTATGATGTGTATAAAATATCCAAAACAAATATTATACTGTTGCTCGTACGCACGACAATTGCTTCTGAAATAATATGTTTGCTATTTTTTTTTAGTCAGTTGTGTTGTATGTCTTTGGTGTATGTTTACACAGTTTTGACTGCTAGATCCCAATTATTGTCACATTAACCAATTTATGTCTGTTTGGTTTGCTCACCCAATTTTGTCAATACAACGGAACTATAAACAACTGTCATACAAGTGGGAGGTTTAGCTAGCTATAAAACCAGGTTTAACCCACCATTCTTTTCGGAATATGCCTGTACCAAGTCAGGAATATGACAGTTGTTTTTCACTCGTTCCGTTGATTGATAGCATTTGATTTTGTCAGTTTTTATGGACTTTCTCTTTTTGAATTTGCCTTGAAGCTCGGTAATTTTGTTATACTTTTTTCATATATGAATATTTTGTAATTGATAGTAAAAGTTGTTCCAGTTTTATATCCCTAGAACCTAAAGCTCCAGAAAAAACCAAATTTTATCCAGGTATAAAGATCTTCAAAAGCTTTAGGAACTAGTTTATAGGTTTGAGTTTTAAAATTGAATTTGGAACATATCTATGTGTGATCTTTGTGTTTTTATTTAGAATTTTTTATCGTACTAAAGATATGATCAATGCAGTTGTTTTGTTTTGTTCTTTTTTTCATAAATGATGCATGAGGTAAATACACATGCACGTCGAGACAATATACCCAACTACTTGTATAAACACCGAAAGCAAACAGACAAGCAAACTTGGCATTTCAAGATAGTACTAATCAAAATGTTAAATATATAAACATTTCGTTACCATAAATTACTTAAAACATTTACTAAATTCTTTCATAGATACAAAGATTTGATTAGTAAATTTGGCTGTACCTGTAGAAAACTTATTAAAAACGATATTTCACATCCTAAATTTTACGGTAATAGTGTACTAAAAGCGCGGAAATCACTATGAGATCCGTGTAAACTATTCGAACCTTTTAACAAACTTATTTGTAAAGGTTATCTTATTAATGTTGTAATAAGATGTTTGAATATTGTTTACATTGGCACTAACATCGTTTTTGGCATCAACAAATTAAAACATAACTAAATTTGTATTCTTTTTGAATGATTTTTGGATGTATAAATACACATCCACGTTTATTTTCTATTTAGAGATTGTTTTATCTATATATACCATGATATATATTTATTATAAGGTTAAATCCTAACGATCCTACTGTCTGTCGATACTTTTATTTTGGCATTGCACAAGTCATGTCGTCTCTGACTGTCCATTGCGTTAAAACACTAAATCCCAGGGATCTGTTTTAATTGATTTTAGTCTCTGATGCATGATTTTTTATTATTAATTGTTTTTGGTTTTTAACTAGCTTTCAGTAACTGCGAGTACTCTCAAATCGTACTTTCTTGTTAATTTGACCTGTTGACAAAATTTTAAATGCATTTCTGCAATTCAATGTTTACTTATTTTGTGTTATATCTCGTCTCACTATTTTTAATACGTACCACCTTTGATAAGTATTTAGTATGACTAAAAATTTTCACTTCTGTACTCGTACTCCTTACAACAAAATTATTATATTTAAATTTACCTGTGTACGTTGTTTTATTTAACGCCATTTTGTCCCAGATTAGAGTTGTCTTTTTGATACTGTTCCTACATCTTTTTTTTTATTAATATTGTATTTATATTGTTTCATAGATCAAACTTATTCGTTCAGTGAATGCTTACTTGTTTTTGTTTAAATGTCTTTTTGATCGAGTTAAGCCATTTGAATTGATATTTTATAGTGTGTCTTTTTATGTTGTAATGTTACACTACTGTCTCAGGTTAGGGTGAAGGTTGTCGCCTGTTAAAACGTTTAACCCCGCTACATTCTACATGTGCCTGTCCCAAGTCAGGAGCCTGTAATTCAGTGGTTGTCGTTTATTGCTGTCTCTAATATTTGTTTAATGCTGCTTCTCATACTTGTTTATCGTTTATTGTTTTATAAAATGTGTTCTTGTGTTGTGCCGTTGCACCATTGTCCCAGGTTAGGGGAGGGTTGCGCCAACAAACTAGTTTAAACTCGCTGCATTTATATGCACCTGTCCTAAGTCAGGAGCCTGTTGTTCAGTGGTTGTCGTTTGTTGGTGTGGTTCATAAGTGTTTCTCGTTTCTAATTTTTTATATAGATTAGACCGTTGGTTTTCCTGTTTGGATTGGTTTACACTAGTCATTTTGGGGCCCTTTATAGCTTCCTGTTCGGTGTGAGCCAAGGCTCCGTGTTGAAGGCCGTACTTTGACCTATAATGGTTTACTTTTTATACATTGTGACTTGGATATAGAGTTGTCTCATTGGCACTCATACCACATCTTCTTGTTTATATCAACAACTCAAATAACGTAGCTCTTTTTCCCATCTGTAATAGCAGTTTCATAATTTCGTATTTTTGCTAAAAAATCTGTAAAACTCGAAACTTATTTTAAACTTAACCACGAGGTTTACATACACATGCTCAATTCAGTAGCAAAAACAAAAGTCTGCCATAAGCCAATCTCAAATTTGCCATTAGAAAAAAAAATCGATTAAAAAAACTAACATCAAAGTTCCATCTAATCCTTTCAGGGTTGATATTGTGCTGTTTCATCGAAGTCGATTGCATCATGTAT